CTATAATGTTTGTTTGAACCAAGTAATTTGCGTTACAGCTGGAGTCAATAATGCCGGCACTTCACTTTCGGGTTTGGCCGTTGGGGTTTGGAGTCCTTTTGCTCGATTCCAGTTATGTTTTTGGTGAATGCTTTCTCATGTTTGGAATAATGAATATTGATAATACATAGTTTAAAATCATGGTTGATTTATTATTTTTTATTATTATTGTTAAGTTGAAGGTATTAAATTAATTAATGTAGTATTAGTGGGAGTGGTAATAATAGTAGTACTCAGAGAATGTTTAGAGATCAGCCATCTCGTTACCTCTGCGTCCCGCGTCCGAGACGCAAAATTAACCCACAGGACACACAGTTCCAAACAATGTGCGTTTTTGGGACGCAAGGAAATTTCTCAGTCAAAACAAACACACAAAAAACAAAAAAAACTACGGCAAGCCTGAGGATTTCACAGTAACAATCGTTACCGGTAGCGTTTCGTTTCCGTGGCGTCATTTTCACGGTACCGAAAAATAGTTTAACTGTAAAAGTCACCGCACACGAGTTGACTGTGTGATCAACGCGATTTCACTGCGCCTGTATGTGTTTGTGATGTGGTGTGGTATGTGAGTGTGTTTCTTCGAATTTACTTTCGTTTTGTTTTGTTTTCAGTGTTGGGGGGACGCAGCAGATGATGGACGTTACGTGCGCATGCGGGTTGCTATTTAAGTCCGCAAACTGAGGAATCGCGCGGATGAAAGTTTGAGATGGCGGCGAAAAAAAACTCACCAAGGTCTACTAATTATGACATTTAAGAAATGGGAATGCTAGATTTAGATTTTATATGCACATTGTGCATATAAAATCTAAATTTAATCCCTGCCTACACTTTACAAACGAAAGAGAAAACAGTGTGCCCCTAGTGGATAATCCATTAATTGCACCTTTTTAAAAATATTAATTCTGTGTCTTTTATGCATTTTTTTTTCATTTTTAAATTATCCTGCGGGACTGATCGAACCTCCTTGGGGGCCGGTTCCGGCCCGTGGGCCGTATGTTTGACACCTCTAGTCTAGATAGACCATGGCAGAACTGTACTTTTGTACTACTGGAATTTTGATTGAGGTACCCTCTACCATGCTCTAGTACAGAGATCATCAACATGGTGCCCGCGAGCACCAGGTAGCCCACGAGGACCACATGTGTTGACCACATCCATCCATCCATCCATCCATCCATCCATCCATCCATCCATCCATCCATCCATCCATCCATCCATCCATTATCTGATCCGCTGGTGGGCGTGCTGGAGCCTATCCCAGCTGTCATCGGACAGTAGACGGAGTATTCCCTGAACTAGTTGCCAGCCAATTGCAGGAGTAGACCACGGGCTTGTTCTAAAAATAGCTCAACGGCGATGGGACTTTATTTTGTAGGAATGCTGTCGACGTGATCATTTGAAAATGTTAACTCAGGCAGAACTTGATAGAAATGAAGGCTTGCGAATAGTGTACACATTTCAGTTTTCCCAATTATTATGAGATTTCATTAACATGATCAGGGTCTTCACATAAATGAAAATCATTTGTGACTAATAATAACATAAAGGTCATTTTAGCCAGTTTGTTATTTCAGAAGCGTGGATCAAACCGGTGGCTCTCCGTTTTAAGGTTTGTGAACCTTGCTCTTGTACCTCCAATGTCTCAGCTCCATTCAGCTTGGGGCCTTGCCAGTAACATGTTCTATCAGCAAACTTGTCGTTGTCGTGAGGATTCCTTTAAAAGAATAAAATCACAAACAAGTGTAAATAATCCTTATCAGTTAACTGGCATGTGTTTGTCATTTGAATTGGTTTCCCTTGTTTTCAGCACTCTCTCATGTTGTACATTTCCCTGGGTTCCACCCCAACGTGTTCGACTCTATCCAACTGTACACAGGCCATGATGTAATTCTGCCTGAGGGGCTTTCCCACATTCATGGCTCAGCTGATAACACATGTGGTGGAGAATTGTAAAAACACACATGGGTGTGTCGCCATTTCAAACTCAGAGCCCATATCAACCTTCCCTGAGAACCAAAGCGAGGAGGGGGAAATGGCAGTGAAAAATGTTCCACTCATTTTCAGCAACCGGCAGCTTTAAAGCTCATCTAGGCTGTGATTAAATTGGCTGAATACAACAACCCAACCCTTGTTGTCGCACGCTGGCTACAGCTGTGCTTTGCTACATTTAACCTCTTCTAAGTGTTCTGAATTGTTTTTCTTTAACTGGACTTATTCAAAGAAATACAAGTTCCACTTGAATAAATCTCCGGGATGCTTAGCAGGGCCTTTAAACGGTCAAAGACAGAATTCAATATTCTCTGAGACTGCTTGACATCAACGTTGGCTGTGGTTGCACATTTACTGCACACTGCTGTGCAAACCAAACACTGGTCCAACAAGCCGCTGCAATGTCAGCTGCTTTCATTTATAGTTGGACTGAGCAGTGAGTCAGTCGGGGTGGCTGGAAGAGAGTCCGCACATATACAGTGATTAATCACATATGCACAGCTCAGTCGGATCTTCACTGGAGCGGTATCTATTCATATTCTTTGGCGTAGCTTCCAGAAATGAAACAAAGACGATTGAAAAGTAAATAACAGCCCCAATGCAGCTGCGCAAAGTGATTAAAAGCCAATACTGTGTTTGGATATGTGTGGGAGATGAGGGAACAGCAAAATAAGCCAGCCCTTCAAGGGCACTCGACAGGATAAGCTCAACCGATAACGGCTTCGGAGAGGAAGCTGGAGTTGTTTTTGAAGGAAATGACATCATTTAGTTTGATGGAACAGTGACCTCATGTTGACAAGATAATAGCTGAGCAAGTATCTGTGCAGACGTTTGTGTGCACCTACAGAGATTAAAGCTTACTTTAAATAATATAGCTTATTTTTTAATTTTGGCTGACTTAAATTTCAGCATGCTAAACATGTTAGACTCACAAATGATCACTGGATGACAAGATTGTTTAGTGTGGTGCCCAATCACATCCAGCAGATTAGTTTTTTTCAGATTGACATGACATGTGACATGACTTTTTTAGTGACACTTCATTTCCTACTGTCCTTCGGTCTTCAAATATGTGCGGGGTTAGAAAGTTATGGAAATAAAGGACAAAGTTTTGTTGGAGAAACATATTGATCATGGTTGGTTAGACTGCCAGCATTCAGGAAGAAAAATAATTAATGTCATCAATTAGGTTTCCAAGAATCTTTTTAACAATTAATTTCCCCCCAAGTTTTCTGGCATTCATTCTTTGGCATTGGCCTATTGAAATACTGGCTTCTGATTTTAACAGTGGATTTTTTTCCCCCACTACTAGAAACATAAAGCCAATGGGCATTAAAATATAAATTAGAATTTTTTTGCAAGATACCATCCAAACTCACAATGATGTAATTATATCGACACAAAAAAACATGAGAAATCTCCTCCTGTGCATGTCTCTCATCAGGCAGACACAACAGGAGTGTCACAGCCACAACAAGACAACCAAAAAAAACCCTGTCAGACTCTTGAACAAATGACATCCCAATCCGTCCATCTGGTGTATGCAATATTTTTCTCCTTTTATACCTGCTCACTTGAACGTTTACACTCTGCAATATGACTGCAACGTACGATACTTGAACAGTCAAATGCAGACACCTTTGCATATTATATAGCTGTAAATATTTTGTTCTTTTTGCACTAACTACACTATTCCTACTCAAATAGAGTGTCTGTTTTGTTTTAAGCGTCATTGCTTTTAAAGGTCAACTGTGAAGTAGTTTTAGAAAATCCCAAATGAAATATTTTTATGCCACAGTTAATTAAACAAAACGATACACACTTGCTGTGCGAATTATATTAATGTGTTTTAAACTTTAAGTTGGATACAATCAAATGAAACGGGTAATTTTTTATCTAATACACAGTGTGAAGCAGAAACATACTTTTTTTTTAATTATTATTAATTTTTTTTAATACTTAAAACATATTTTAAGAACCCACCAAAGATGATCCTTTCAAGTGATGAGGCAACGACAGAAAGGGAGTTTTTCCACACAAACAGGAACGGTGCCATCTGGCCTGATTAGCATACGACATTGCAAATGGTAACTTTTAATGACGAGATGATCTCACAGCACTAATTTTCACCGAATACTTAATGAAGAATTAGCATATTAGAACAACATATTGTCTCCCACTAGCTCAGGGGGAGGCTGATGGGGTGTGGCGCAGGATGAGAGGGAACATAATGTGGTGAAAGATATACGTAGTTTTTTTGTCTTGAGCTGCTGTCTGAAAAGTGGTATCTATTTAGCTAAATCTAGTTGGAAAAGAGCACGTGTAGCGAATTATTTTGTATTCGAATATGGTCATTAATGCTATTTGATTCCTGTTTGACATTTTGCACCTGAGATTTGAGATGTCATTGACAATTTAACGTGGGATTTTCCCTTCTCTTTGTCCAGGTGCATCAGTGCAAACTGACATTATGAAGTGGACGATGAAAACAACATTTTCTCTTCTAATGTGAGGTTTAGAAATGTAATCAGCAAACTCCACGTAGCAAAGACTGATCTACCCCGACACACAAACCCGCCCCTTCAAATGCCAAACACGGTTCTCTGGAGAATCTGCTTAACTAAATATGGCGTCAATAGCAGAGGAGAAATTCGGAAATAAAAATGCAAATGGAAGCAACAACCCTTTAATCTTACAACAAAGGAAATTCTAGGGTAGCTATTGGCAGATAGATAAACAATTATAATTTGTAGGTGAAGAAAAATGTTTGGAGCAGATCAAAACACACAATTTCATTGGCCCTGAAGAGTAAAATACAACACCAAAGAACTAAACGTGACAGAAAAGTAAAAAAAAAAAACAACAACAAATCAGAAAAAAAACAAAACAATAAGAAATAAGCACAAAACAACCCAAAGAACACAAAAATATGAAACAAAACAGGAAAAAAAAAAACCACAACATCAAAAAACTAAACACAACAGCAAATGAAAAACAGAAAAACAAAAAAACTAAACACAACTGCTGAAGAAAAAAACACGACATTAAACTACTGGAAGAGGTCGGAATGCAACGAGATCAGACTCATTGCTGGTTGGACCAAGTCACCAAAAATAACCTGCGCTGCCGGCTTGGAGGGAGGTTGCTGACAGCTACCACTTCAGAACACCGTATATACAGTCATAGACGAAATGAATAAAACAATATGTACAATCTTCACAGGCATTGCGTGAAGCCAGAAGCATTCTTCTCGACTTATGCTTTTCCCAAACATTCACCACTTTCATTTGTAGGTTATATTGGGAGCATTGCTCCCCTTCAGCATTCTCTTTGGCAGGTAAAAATAAGATAAGAAAACCTTTATTTTTCTCACAATGAAGAAATTCCCAATTTACAGCAACAAAAATTATGAAAGGGAGAAGTATAAGAACAAAAGTACATCAATCCAGCCTCTATTGGAGTTAAGTTTGGGGATTTGACTGAACATGTCTAAAACTCTCCAATTCTCCATCTGTATAAACACCGTTGATGATTGGGACGTTTTTTTTGGGGGGGGGGGGTGCTCATTGTCTTGCTGCATGATAAAGGATCTCCCAATCAGTTTGGCTGAATCTTTCTTCACCTGGGCAAACAAATTGTGCCTGGAGGCCCCTGAGTCAACTTTTGGAGAATCCCAGCGAGGCCATCTTCTTGTTAATTAATAGTTTGCAGCTTCTTGTGTAGCCTCTGGACATTGCTTCATTTGTGATACTTTTACCCCTGCCCTACGAAAGTAGTTGTTGAAGGAAATACAGTATTTGTTTTAGTGCCTTTCTTTACGGCTTTAATAATCAGTACATCAAGATGCATTAAAAGTATTAATTGTATTCTATTTTTTCCAAGTGGACTTTTCAATTGGAAATGAAATTCCAATGGCAAGTATCCACTTCCATTGAACGTTGCTATAATATACAATTTTCTGTTTTTTTTTTTTTTTTTGTAAAGTAGTGAATTTGAAAAAAAAAATGGATATTAATAATCATTTTTTGTCAAGTGGGTAGGTAATTAGGTTAGGTAATTAGTTGGGTAAGGTAACTGTGTTTTCCTGGTTAGGTTGTTAAGTGTGAAATTAGTAAGGCTTGTTTGACAGGTTAGGCAGATTTGGGTTTGGCTGGCATTATATCCTTTATTGTGTGGTGAGGTAGACAATTCTTTATATAATCTATCTATCGGTTGCGTTGTGTTGGCAAGTATTTAGATCAATAGGGAAGACGCTTAAGTAGGTGAATAGGTAGGATGGCTGACAGACTCAGAGACTGACAGGTACAATGAATATCAAAGCATACGCAGGTCTTTTTAACTCCGAAAGGAAAAGGCGGCAGGCTCGTGGTGGACAGGGGTTACACAGGGTGATATGAAGAAGGAGCATATATATTTCACCTGCTGACATGGCCTCTCAAAGAAATCTTTCATGAGATCCTCTGATCAGTCAGCTCAGTGGGTCCAATGCTGTCAATTTAGCTGTCATATTACACTGGCTCAATTTCTGCTTTTTCATCTTGGGGACTTTTCCATCTCATAATATTCTTAAAGGGGAATTGGCAAAACAGATGCATGAGCAGAAAGCTTTAGAAGTCAAACCATCTGTTAAGTGATTTATGGTCTCCATGTTTAACCTGCACATACCGAGAAAGCGTCGAGGGAAGTTGGAGCTTTAAAGAAAGCCTTTCATCGCATATGAACTTT